TATGCATGTGAAAGCTGGACACTGAATAAGGAAGACCGTAGAAGAATTGATGCTTTTGAGTTATGGTGTTGGAGGAGAATATTGAAAGTACCATGGAGTGCCAAAAGAACCAATAGATCCGTTTTAGAAGAAGTGCAGCCAGAGTGCTCCTTGGAGGTCAAGCTGGCCAAACTTTGTCTCTCATACTTCAGACATATTGTCAGGAGGGATCATTCGCTGGAGAAGGATATCATGTTTGGTAAGGTGGAAGGTCAGTGAAAAGGAGGATTGGCCAAGTGGCAGCATTGATGGATCAAGCATGGCAGCAGTAGTGAGGTTGGACCAGGATCAAGCAATGTTTCATTCTGCTGTGCCTAAGGTCGCTATGAGTCGGTACCAACTCGATGGCATCTAACAACAACAACAACTTATCATAATGTGCCTAAAGACTGTATCTTTATCTTTCTTTAATGGGAAGGCTTTTAAAAAAGAGCTCAGGGCTCCTATTTTACTAGTTACATTAGTATAATCTTTCTAGGATCATGTCTGATTTAAGGTAATCTTCACTGCTTATATACTCTATTAGCAAAGGTTCTCAAATTTCAGTATGTACCTGAATCATCTAGAGGCCTTGTTGGAAAAAACAAAAAACAGATTTGTGGGTTCCAACCCCAGAATTTGTAATTCAGTAAGTCTAGGATCAAAGCAATGATTCTGCATTTCTAACAAGTTCCCTGGTGAGGTGGATGCTGCTAGTCCTCAGAGGACACTTAGAGAACCTCTGTCCTGTACTGTCCAGTTAACACTCATTTCAAGACTTGTTTAATTTCATTAAACCACTTTTTAAAGTCAAGTCTTATCTTCTGCTATACCATAACAGTTGTTTTTCAGTGTTTTAAAAATTCATATCTTAAAACAATGTTTCAACAGGAAAAGAGAGGTAAGAAGCTAAAGGGCTCTTTTCCCTCCAGAAATTTCAGTAGTAAGAATTGTACAATATATGTTTAACTAGAAAATCTTAAAAACAAAAACTACGTACCAAATCAGCCTCTTACTTTTAAGTTAAAGTTCCTCTTATCCTGTTACCACCAGCACTGCCATTAACACATAACATTTATTAAACATTTTCAATTCATCTACTGTTATGAAAATAAAAAGCCCAAAGTCACTCAAAGTAGCCACCTTGTCAAGCAACACCTTTCTTTCTTTCTTTCTTTTTTTTTTTTAAATAAAAGTACAACTGCTTCAGAATCTTTTATGAAATTTGTACCATAGGAGAACTTCCCATGGGGCTGAAGACTGCCTGCATGTTGTTTAATTATTACATGAAAGCAAATAATACATTGTTGCTAACTTTGTATTTGCTATGTGTTTATAGTGGCATTTATCATTTTGGGGGAGCTGCCTAGCATCAGAACCTCCTTTTGACATTTGGGATTCTGCTTTTATGTTCAGTGAAAGCATAAAAGCCCAGTGCTTGTTCTCAGAAAACCCTGGCAGTCAGAACGCTGGCATTGGAGTCTCAGACTGATGAACCAACTCCTCTTCCCTAGGGTATTAGGTATAAAGGGAAATAACACAAAGAAGCAGGCCTGGGTTAGAGGTCATTCTGTCGGTGATGTGGTTGGTCGGAACAGAGCTGTAATTTCACCCTTATGGCAGGGAATGTCTAATGCTACAGCATTCTATCCACAGAATATCTGCTTTTTCAGCTCCCTGGCTGCACTTAGTTCTGCTGCAAAAGAACTCTTTAAAGTATTTAAGAGCAAAGATGTCAGTTTGAGGATTAAAGTGCTACCTGACCCAAGCCATGGTATTTTCAATAGCCTTAATGAATGTGAAAATTGCACCGTGAATAAAGAAGACCATAGAAGAATCA